ATACTGATTTGGCAATTGTCGAACTTGATAATCCTTATATAAATTTGATTAATAGATGAGGTCAAGTAATAAAATCCTTATCTTGTACCTTCTAGAGGAGGTATCTGTGTGGAGCAGCTGCCTGAAGGGTTCCGGCAGGTTTTCATACAAGGAGATCCACAAGGCATGTAGTGCCATTCACATTCACCAGGGGGATTGTAGTAATCACAGAAGAGAGCTGAAAAAAACCAATGAAAAATCTAGTTTGCAAATGTGCCAGGCTGGATCTGATGACCTAGATATGTTAGTGTACATAGCTTTATTTTTACCTTGGTAATTGACAGGCATGGTACTTTAACAAGAAATCACAACAATGAAATATTCCTGAGAATTATTTTGATAGTGGTTATTTCGCTATTTATGTGTGAAGTTTGTGAGAAATTAGCTATAATAGACATAATTCTAATTTAAAATTAGATTTAAATCCAGGTTGAAATTAGTGCTGTTGCTTTCAGGGAAGGCACAGGTCACACTGACTTATAGTCCAATCCATGCTTTCATGTTAACTATTTACAACCAACATATACACATACAACAATAACCAACATGAGCAAGATTAAGTCATTGAGATATTGTTTAAATGTCAGGTTTGATACATTTTCGGTTAATTGCCCAGCCTTAGTGGAGTGTATTGTAATTTTAATTAGTATTTTGTTGATGTTTTGATACATTGTTGTTGTGTTTTTATCTGGTGTGTAAGGTGACCTTGAGTGCTCTGAAAGGTGCCTATAATAAAATGTATTATTATTATTATTATTGTCAAGTGTTATCCTGGTAGGTAATTAGCCCCAAATAGCATTTTTCTTTACCTTATGCAATATCTAATAGCAGTCTCTAGGAGTCTCTTTTCTCTTTTCTTAAAAAGTTGAATTAAGTATGTGGTTCTCACTAAACATTTCTCATCCTGGTTACTTACGGCAGATTTTAGGGGTTCTCCATCGTAGACAGACACCAGCTTGATTACACGATTCAGCATAAGCAGCCACAGCAGTGCAGAAACACTCGCAGTCTCCACCAGTGTCACAAGCACATGAGTCGAACACACATGCTTCATAGTATGGAGTAGGATCAACCTGCAGTGTGTGTTGATACATTTGGTGAGTTCAGTTCAGTGTTTAGTAAAGACAATCAACACAAAATGGAGGAAAGATTGCACTTCTGTTTCTAGTTCACTACATCTCACATGCAAATAATTTAGTTTTTACTGTACTGCATTTACTGTATGTATGTTTTTACTGTATGTTGTGCAAGTTCACACTTAGAATCAAGATCAAGTTTTGAAAGTATGGACATGCTATACCTTGTTTGAACATGTGGAAGCTCAGCTAAACGCCCATGAGAGCAATTTTACCCAAAACCAAACACAACTCAAACACCATGCACATCGAACAAACGCACATGCTCACAAAGCAGGTACCAAAAAAACAACAAGCCCAGAATCCGCAGATTGCAAGAGCAACAAACATAAGTCACATCTTTCCTCTGATGTTTTGTCATGATAAATTGGATTTTAATCCATAACACTGGTAAACTCCAGGGTGAATACTGTTACCTACTGTCGTTATTTTTCTTCTTCTCTCAGTTTACTGATGGTTTCTACTTAAACCTCTCTAACTTTGTTGTGCTTCACTTTATTAGAATAAAATGTGAAAAGTGTACCAGATGCTTTGGATTAATCTGTTTCCTTGCTCAGTTTCAGACATTTCTGGATGTCTAGATTTTATTTTATTTTTTACAAATGAGACCTGTCATTGTGTCCATTTCAAATCCACTTTATATATATTGTATGCATTAATGCCACATGGGATGTTTTTGATGTGTTTTTTGTTTTTGGTTGCATTAACATGTTGAGATGGGAATGAAGGAGGACTCTGGTTTGATGCATAAATGTTGTTGAATATTTTCTCATGATATATTATTTTTCTATGACAATGCTTATTATGTATATAATTTTGTGAGGCCTGATCATATTCATTATGAAGATGATGCTTTATGTTGTTAATTTTTTACTTGCCATAAATACATCCTGCAGTTTCACCTGTTTATTAGGAATGTGATTGGGTGGCTGACCTGGGGCCACGTCCTTATTAAGATGGCTTCTCATTATCACAAAATGTTCGCCTGATGAAGATCAAGTACTGATACGTTGCAGCCTAATTAATCACTAATTGCAAATTGGACAGTGTGCAGGAGTTCTTTTCATATTTTGATCTACTCGTCCCTCTCCATTCCGCCACATGGGGGTGCAAATCAAAATTGCATCGTTTCATAGGGAAAACTCACTCTAATAGTTGAAAATTTAGTTTTGCAGAAATTAAACCTGTCACTTTTACTGTCATAAAACTTGGGCATCGAATATATGAGTGAGGACATATTTATGTATATGATAATATCTAATGTAGCATAAAACAGAACCATGTGCAGTCAACCTGCCTATGAGCTTATCTGCTTAATAGAGTGGAGCATTTGGCCTGAAAGGGAAAAGAGTGGAGTTTAGTCTAACATGGTTATTATTATTATTGTTAATTGTACTTGAAAAGTTGAGAGTGGAGCTGAATGTAAAGTAAATGCCTAATTAGGAATCCTTCTCTGAGCACCATGGGTGTTCACAGATAAACTGAAAAACTGGCTGACATGTGCATCATCCTGCTACTTGCAGGACTAAATCAGAAGAAAAACATTCACAAGAAACTTGAGTTAAACAACAACTTACAATGGAATGGCAGGTGGAGAAGACGTCACTCTGTATGATGCTGCACTGTTTGTGGGCCCACGACTGTCTGTATGGGTTGTCTGTGCAGGGGCTGTTAATGCTCTGAGCATCAGGGCAGCTTGGTAAATCCTTCCAGCTGTTGCCAAACACCAGTGGGCTGACAACCACAGCATGGCACCTTGTAGTGAAGTCATTATTTGCATTCTTGTCGTAGCTGCCACAAAGCCCACACACCCGACCCTGAAATAAGAAGAGCTCCTTATCTCATGTTGTTAAACCCAAACAAAGCTAAAGTTTTTTCACATTTCGACCACAGCCTTGGTTCAGTTACACCTGGGTTACCTTGTATTTTGGGCTGAGCTTGATGAACAAGGTGGTTTTCCTGTCCCACATGAGAATGAGTCCATTGTTGGCTTCAATTACCAGGTAGTTGCCCATAGTGCTATAATGGAATGGAGGTGCCTCTTCATTTCCACTTGAAAGCAACCTGTAGTTTCCTTCTGTTAGAATCAGTTCTGCACGCTGCACAAAAGAGCAGGCATGGATTATTGGTCATTTTGTGCGTGTGTCACAAGTTCAATGGCAAAGGCTGTTAATCTTCAAGAATCTGCACTTCTACATATGTCACATACGTTTATTTAAGCAAAGCTCTATTGATTTATTTTAGCATTGTGCCAGCAATTTACAGTCAAATTATGCAGTTTTTTTAATAGTTTTTTTTTCTTCTCGATTGTTTACCTCCAGAAAGATCTTGATGGTCTTAGAGCAGGTGGTTCCTGTGGTTCCACATGGAACATTCTCAGTGATCACTCGGAAAGTTCCATTACTCTGAGCGCTGCCACAGTAGTCCTGAGGAAGAGTACACCCAAACACGCACACACACAAACACACACAAAAACACACACACAAATAAGTATAACATTATTTCTTTGTTCCTGATATTCACCCTTATATAAAAATAATATAAAACCACATGGGCCCTTAGTAGAGTGCATACCTCTGCCAAGGCCCAAAAGTCACCTTATGAAACCACATTTAAAATAAATTCACTAGATCTGAATTAATTGTTCTCTGAGAAATCAACAATAATGTGAATAAATGCAATATATCACAGTACATAAGTAAATAACGCATGGATAAAGGTTTCTGACAGAGCATTGGAGTGTATAATAATATTATTTTACTATACACATACAAAATCAAGCACAGACATTTGAGAGAATGTCCTCCCTTTGATTCCGTTCAACATAGTAATGTCCTTTAGATGGACTAATTTGAATGCTCTCGTATTTTCTGGTGACAGCTCATTCTTCATATTTCCATCTTTCTGTTTTTCAGCATTTTTTGTGCACAGTCATACCTGAGTGAGAACGTATTCACAGTTGCCATCGAATGTGAAGCGCTTCTGATCAAAGGTCATATAGTGTCCAGCACCATAGACGGAGCAGGTCCCATCACACTGATTGGTTGTACAGATCCACTTTCTGTCTTTACAAGTGCTGTGAGCAGATACACAACAGATGGAATCCCGATTATAAAAGGCCTTTTTGTGTGAACATGTCGCAGAGAGGTGGGGGGGGGACCAAAAGCTTGCTTCAATCTACTGGTGATTCACTTACCAGGTGTTGCAGTCCACCCTGGTGGTCTCTCCAGGCTGGTAGTAGATGCCATTGTGGTCACAGAGACAGGCCTCTGGCTTGATGCAGCCTTTTTTACCATCAGATACCAACCCAGGTGGACACATGCAGCCAGAGACACACCCTGTGGTCATCTGGAAACAGGATCAAATGTACAGTCCACAGTCAGGTTTCATTTCTGCTCCAGCAGAGAAAATGTTGAACTCAGACTATTCAACTGTTTGTTCTGCAACCATTATAAGATATTTATCTGTGTTTTCATGTACATAAATCGGTTATGTTTGGGAACAGGTGACTCACACAGGTCATTTCTAATGTGTTGCAGCTCTTCTCACACTCAGTTCCCTTTGCAGCAGGACCATTAGCAGAGCAGTTGAAGAACACCATGGGAGGAGCACAGGTTCCTGAGGAAAGACAAGTGTGAAATTACTGATTGAACTTTTATGCTTGATTAATTTGCTTTTCAAAATGTTATTAAGACAACTACAATAATCTTTGACATGGAAATGAATATACCAGACAACCTGAACATTTCAGCTCCTCAATGATTTGCAGAAATAATCTGTAATGACACTCAGCTTTGCTTCTTTTGTCTATTTTCTCTTCACTCTTTCTTTCTGGAATATCAGACTCATATTCTAATACCTGTTTACCATGTACTGTGCTAAATGCCACCCCATTGGCAGAATGAAACATCTCAGCTTTTCAAGGCCAAATACTGAAACATGTAGAAACACTGGTTTTCTTTGTATATTGAAACAAAACCATGAAACTATTTGATGCACTTAAATGTGAGCAAAAAACCTTCATGGCTCATAATTTTTATTTATTCATTCTGCAACCCCAAATACCGAAATCTTTAAAAAGAAGTATATGCAATGTGCTTTAAACTGACATATACCTTGATTAGTTTTGTCCCCATGCATGATAATGCTGCTGTCTGCTTTAAGAGAATCATTAGCTACAATCTCTAGAAAGTGAAAAATATGTGCCATAGTCTTTAAACTACCAAATGAGATAACTGTAAATCTGTCATGGCAGAAGCTCAGTGCATACTTTCTTCCAGACCACAGCCATCATCAAGTCATCATAGACACTAATCCAGCAGTCCAGTTACTCTGTTAGATAAGTTACTGTCAGGAAGTTATGTAGCTCTCACTTTTGAGGCAGCTATTTATCAGGTGATTCTGTGTCATGCACTTTACCTGATTGTACTTCTCCAATGCAGCTGAGTTTGCCCTTCTTACAGGTGCTGGTGGAGAATTACAACAAAAATACATATATATTAATACACCAACATAACCTTTCAACACACAGTTTAAAAGATTTAAACAAGATTTAAAACCACAACAGGTCTTTGAACTACAGGGACAAAGAGTCAGTCATTTTTATTATAATCTATTAAATGAGACAAACACTTTAATTATAGTCTCTACTCCACGTTACTGCTAAAATACATTAGGGACTGGGGCCAAAGGCTACCAGTAACACAACACTTGAGAATCGCCCGTGTGTGGCCAATGTTTGAATTTGAGGTTTCACAAAGTGGAACTGCAATAAACAACCATTTTTAATGAAAATTTGCCTAAATCCACCCTCATCAAATCAGTTTCCGACCTAGTGTCAGCAGCTTTCAGTCTTTTATCTGTTTTCTTGTCTCCTCTCTGTGTACGGTATAATTCACAACAACGCTGCTCCCATTTCCACATCTACATCTTTGTCTTTCTGTAGAATGAAATAGCGACTGTAGCGTGAACCATAAAGATGTTTAACAGCAGTCACTTCCACATTGGTCACTGGACTCAGAGCCATAAAGTTTTTCTAAAGCCGCTCGATTTGTCAGCAGATGCTTTTTCTGATGAAAAGAAGATCACTGAAGGAGTCTGTAAAGTCAGTAAATCTGGTTGAGAGCATTGCCTGTGAATGCCTCTTGATGATATAAGAAAAAAACGTTCACGCCAATTCATTCAACAAGCAACAGCCAATGAGGAAACTCAAACACGCCATCATCAGGCGGTTATGTGAAATTAGTTTGACCACCGTTGTAATTTTATCCCTCAGTCTGAACTTGCTCTCGCTTATCCGCCAAAAACCTGTGAAATATGTCATTTTCATACCACATGACTCCATCCTTGCTGACCACCTCTTCAGGAGACACCACAGAGCCTTTGTCGTAACAGGGACAGGCCTTGGATTGGACACACTTCTCAGAGTCATCCAGGTAGGTTCCCTCTGCACAGATACAGCCGTCGATGGGCGGGAAGGAGAAGTGGCAGCTGAGATCTGTGGAGCTGAGGCAGCGGCAGGTGCGACTGCTGGACGTGATGTTGTAGGAGTAGACCATGGTGCTCGGGCAGGAGCTGGCATATTTCCCTGAGGAGGTCAAAGCACAGGATCAGTGAAAAACAACGCCTATCAGGTAAAGTGCATTTTGCACTTGTTTTCTTGTGGTGTGTTGATGAGGGGCCACCCTGCAGGATAGAGGCACCAGCATGATTTCCTACATGTCTTTACTTCTATAATGCATCATTGTGATTGCAATGGCTGTTTCAGAGTGATGACGAGCATAACTGATCTATAATCCACTTTATAGAGCTCTTATGCACATTACACTGCTCAAGACACCAAGACCAAAATATCATGATGTTAAGGTGAACAGGAGCCCTTTGATCACCATGGTATTATGCTGCTCTCTAGTGGCCCCTCAGAGTAATTTCAGTGCTTTTCTCACTGCATCCCCCTGCCTCTGCCAGTAATCATAGATTACAGCAGTGGTCCAGTGTTGAGAGGAATTTAATTTAATTCTCTGGTTGCTGGTTCAACTCCTGCTTGCTATTGACTGACTGAATGTTTCAACATTTACCAAATGAAGACAGTAACACTGCAGATAATCAAACTGCTTTAACAGAGGTTTGAAGAACAGAAGAAAACAAGGGCTACCTGATGTCACATGCTATAAAGAAAGAAAGAAAGAAAATGTTATGCACCTATCCAGGAAAAGAGTAAAATACACTGTCTCTGATCAATACAATATCCCAGGAGTATTGAAAAGATATAAGAAATACTGTTGATTCATAAATACGCCTGACTGTCTGACCTCGCTGCGACTGGCTATTAGCATGTGATCTGATCTGTAGTCTGATCCAAGTTGCACACATGTGATCAATGTGTGCCATCACACCTTTCCTAAGCTGTCAATTTGTGATCAGATCTCTCAGGACAGATGTTGATGCCAGGTTTGTACAGGGTATCAGACCACATACAGACACACATACTTGTCTTCGAGAGCATACAGGAGTTTGTTAATTCTTCTTCGACTTTGTACAGCTTTATTTGAGCTGCATGTACAAAAAAGCAGCGTTTCCTTTAAAATAAGTAATAATTAAAAAATAAAGCATGTGTGAACATAATATGGATTCTACCCAAGGAGAAAATTGTGAGCTCAGTTCGGAGTGAAAAAACAAACATCATGGAGCTCATCGCTCCCCACTACTCACCACAGATGGTCTTCCTCCAGTCGCTGATCCGGATCCCTGCAGCTGCACAGGCATGCACATAAGAAGAGACTGCAGCACACATGCACTCCTCGCTTTTCTCACAGTTACAGCTGTCATACATGCAGTTCTGCGAGGAGACAAAATAAAGAAGGAGCAGTGTGAGGAGACTGGTCTGGTTGAAGAAGACAGACAAGAGTAAAAGTCGCAGCTTTGAGACTTGACCTCTTTGTACGAGTCAGGACTGATCTCTGGGTGACACGGGGCAAACACTCCCTGAGGATCACTCAGCATGGAGCACCAGTGCACAGCGTACTTCTCTGTCAGCGACACACAAGAACAAAATAAGTCATCCTGATGAAACCAACGTGCTCACAGACGATCACAAAGAGTCAGACCTACCATTGTCCAGACTGAGACTGCAGGGGTTGTCAAAGCTCCTCTTAATATCTCTGCAACTGCCATGTGTCTTCCAGCTGTTGACAAATCCAGCTGCTGTGGATTCTGGAACACCACTGAGCTTCAGGAAGTCATCAGCTTGGTTTTTGTTGAAGTTCCCACACAGACCTGCAGGCAGACACCAGCATGTTAATATCACCTAAGCCTTTCTGTCGAAGTTTCCTCTTCTTTTATACTTACAAATTTAAAATTGATAAATGTACATACATCAAACAGTAAAATTGTTCACCTGAACTATCAAAGAAGCTCTTCTAGCTCAGTGGTCAACACATTCCAATGAACTCCTTCACAATAAAAGCATTGGGGCATTGAAACCATTCAATGTAAAGCAAAACCAGTAGAAACAGCATCAATAACGTCTAGCTCTGATGCCACCAATCTTTAAAGATGAAAATGAGGCTGATATCTGTATCTATATACCAGGCACATCTATAGAAAGCATATAGCCCTGCATGTTCATATATTTAGAAATGTATGTCCTAGAATTATTTGGGTCATCACAACACAGAGGGAGTCATGAATTCAACTAAAATCAAAGTTTTAAAATGTAACTGCCACTATAAATAAGACTTTAATATTAAACGGATTGCACATATCTGTTTAGTCTAAGGTTTAAACAGTAAATAAGCTCCTCTGACCTTGTAGAGCAAAGAAATACTAAATGAATACATTAAGGGAACCAGCTCTACAGTGTTGGATAACTTATATCTATGTCACAATCCTTTCTGTCTTCACACCCATGTTTACACTCTTGATTGCATTTATCTTAGAAGTAGAGAATGAGCATATGCCTTCTTAAGTCTTGCTGTTTCTTCCTCAAATGGATATATCTGATGCTGCTTGTGTTGTAAAGCCAACTTTGAAGGCTGAACGAGCTGCTTAGGTTTTTCACTGTTACTTGTCCTGTGTTTTTCCTTTTTCATATACACAAATGAACAAACAGGACTCATTAAAGACTGATTTGTGTGGGGTTTTTCCAGTCTGAGAGCACATTCTGATTGTTTTGATGCACATACCACAGGTCTTGTCCCTGTAGTCACTGTCCACGCTGATGTAGAGCTGCATGATTGGCTGGAGCTGCACTTCCAGCAGGACGCCAACAGACGTCTGGACCAGCAGGTAGAAAGAAGACGCCCTGAAGGCAGAGATCCCGACTACAGGTCCAGAGAAAGGGACACAGTTTGTTATAAGATGGGAGACTGCCATATGCCAATTTGGCTGGTGAGAAAAACAATTCGCAGTTAGAGCAAATTAGATATTAGAAATATTGTTTTCTTCATGCTCTCATTAAATCTGGATTAAAAATGGTACAGCTGTTTGGGACAACTGTGTAGAAACAGCCACTGGATGATTGTGAATTAATTTCATCATAATATTTATCATAATATTTAATTTACCATAGTAATGACTTTCCTGGCGTGTAAACACAAATTGGACACACACTAATGCCCTGTATCATCATCATGGCATCTCTGTGCCCAGCAGTGCCCTGCACCCCCCAGTGACCTTAGCTTTGTACAGTATGTGTGAGTCAACACGTCAGCAGGATCTTAATGATAGTGTCTCCAACCACTGTGTGTCCGATTTAGTGTTTTCACGAGTTGTTTCACTTCAAAGAATCAAATAACTAAGGTATACATACACCAGATTAGGTGATGCTGTGTGTTACTGAAACATGTCGGAGGTGATTATAGAGCAGAGGAGTCTCTCACCAGCAGAAAATGGTAACTGAGCGTAGATGCCATTCACAAAGACCTTGCCGCTGGGCTGGATGGTGATCACCTTTATATGAAACGAGATTAGACAAAATATTCATATTCTGGCTCTGTCTTCAGGGATTAAAAACAACAAAACAAACAAGTCATGCAACAATACACAATTTTGATAGATAAAAACATGACATTGACTGATAATTGATCCAACTTAACCTTGTTACAAGATTGCAGCATAATTGTAATAGTACTCTGACTTAAATTTGGAAACCAATGACCAAAAAGAAACATTTTCAACATCACTTTTGTATCCTTTAACAATGGTGGGTAAACCATGCTGAATACATATATATATATTTATATTGTGTGTGTGTGTATGTGTGTGTGTGTGTGTGTGTGTGTGTGTGTGTGTGTGTGTGTGTGTGCGTGCCTGTGTGTGTGCGTGCGTGCTTGTGTATCATACTCACATTGGTTGCTCCGGACAGACCTAGAGTAACAGACTTGAGGCAGGTTTCGCTGTCGGTCAGTCCACACTGTACCAGTTCTCCATGTACCACAAACTGGGTTCCATTGCAGTCCTGAACAAATAAAAAGCTGCTGATCACCTTCTGAACTCAAACAACATGTCTGCTCTGCAGAGCGCAAAGGAAACAAATACCATTAAAGAAAAGTGATGGGGGATGATTTAGTTAGTTAGCAATACCAGCAGCATATATATAACTAGTAGTAGCTGTGGTAATAATAGTAAACGTGGTGATACTATTAGTATATGTAAAAATACTTTTAGTAATAGTGGAAGAGGTGGTGACGTAATAGTGGACTACAGGTATTTCCTCTTCATGTTTTGCTCTTTTACATGTGGGTTCTTTTTATTATATATATTTACACATTATTGGATGAGAGGAGGACTGTTGTGATACAGCTGTGTGTGGAAGGAGGTAGGGAAAGGATTGTGACCAGAAGAAAAGCGTATAATATTTATGAAATATGTGCCTCCTCTGTGCTTCACTTTTTTTCAATTAGCCTAGTAGCACAAAGTAAAACTTCAATCTATTATTCCTTTGAATAATTTGTCTCATTGTTGATGTACAACACAAACAGCTCATATAATTAACTTCTCTTCTTTTTTAATACACAATACGACCGTAAAATCCATCCATGATCTATACTATCCCTCAAGGGTCTTAGTGGGAGCTGGAGCCAGTCCCAGCTGCAGGGCCAACATACAGAGACTAACAACATTTCACACTCACAATCACACAGAAAGTTAACCTAACCCCATGCATGTCTGTGGACTGTGGGAGAAAGCCAGAGAAAACCCACACAAACAGGAGAGGACAGTGCTAACCACCGTGCTACTTAATCTAAATTTTTCGTTTTTAACATTAATAAATCAATAGAACTATCAATGAATGTGGTCACTCCTTTAGTCTTTTTTAATATTTTAATGAAGTGATTTACGGGATGGTACAGAGATGACATACATCTTGATTTTAATATTTACATCTTTATATGTAACCATCTGCCGATTTGGGCTGGTGCGGCTTGTGTAGTGGTGTTGGGCACTTGTGTGTATGTGTGTGGTTAGTACCTTAGCCAGAGTGTAGGAGCAGTCCCCATGGAAGGTGTAGACTTTTCCATCAAAGGTGTTGACGTGAGCTCCTCCCTCCACAGAGCAGGTTCCTGGGCAGTTCTCCTCCACACACGTCCACTCACCACTCTCGCAAACACTGTCAGCACAACATAGTTTAATCTTAACTGCCAGTGAAAAGTTAGAATTAATTAATTTGCAATCATTTGCCAAAACTAGGTGGCACTACCCTGAACATGCAGTCTATAAGGCCTTTAACACACACACACACACACACACACACACACACACACACACACACATACATACTGTACATCATACCATTTCTTGCAGTTACTGGAGTAGGACTCTCCAGGTCCGTAGATCTTGTTGTTGTAGCTGCAGGAGCACTTGCTCAGTGGAACACAACCTTTTTTGTTTAAATCATCCAGCACCGTGCCTGAAAGGGATCAATGCATTACTCTATTAAAGCAGTGTGTACGAGAGTGTGTGTGTGTGTGTGTGTGTGTGTGTGTGTGTGCGTGTCGCCTTGCTGTACCTGCGGGGCAGAAGCATCCATCGGCACAGTGGTTGTCGCAGGTGTGGCTGGCCTCTGGGTTGGAGCAGGTATCAGCACAGGGACTTCCACACTCTTTGTACTCCATATTGAGAGGACATGACTTCCCTGTGAATACACCAGATTCTTTCTCACCACTAGACTTACACAACCTCTCAGATAACATTCACACTGCTGCAGCCTTGCTCCTGCCTTTGCGCGACCTGCCCACATGTCTGAAGTATCCTCTCCACACCTTTGAGCATGAATCAGTTCACCCTTTCTGACCTCAGTGTTGCATTGAGGAGCTGCTAGCTAAGAAAGTGAATGTGAAATAAAACGAACATTGCACTTTTCCAGCATGCCACAGTTCTTAAAGTCACAAGAAGGAGATCCCATCAGTGAGATATTTTGTGAGTGTGGCCTGGTGTTGACGTTAGTTGTCTTAAATACAGACTGTTAATCTTACTTTTCTTATTACAGTTTATTTGACTCAATGACATAAAATAAAAAAGAAGGACAACAGAGAGAAGATAAAGGCAAAAAACTATAAAAATCATCACACCTTATATGGGGTTCTGAAAAGACGGGTTTAAAGTATTTTTTTTAAAGTGGACAGTTTTGAATACACAGAACAAAAAAACAACACTAAAAATATTCAAGCCTAACCTAAGATGCCACATTTAATGCTTGTAACATTAAGGCTGTGTCGCCTTTAAACTGAGCAACATTGCAGACTGAGTTGATTGAATTATGAGTGATGTACCATCCTCACTATTAACTGCAAGCTTGCTACAATAGATGGATTGTGTGTTTTTAAGTCAATGAACCAATATTTCATCAGCACAGTGTGTGTGTGTGTGTGTGTGTGTGTGTGTGTGTGTGTGTGTG